TGGGAACTGTTGGGTCTCTGTAAATAATTGTATAAGGAGTTCGGTCTAGACCTGCTCTATTTGAAAAGTGTCCTGAGATAAGTTTTGTTATGGTTTGGTGCTATACAAATAAAACTGAAGTGAATTGCTCAAACACTTGAATTTCCACTCTGGGGATCAATCAATTATTTATTTATTTATTTTATTTAATTAAAATTATCTTAACATTAGAGAAAGTATACAACTTTTACATTAACAGAGTTCATAGAAGAATAGAGTAGGGTCTTATGTTGTGTGACAGTGAGCCAGCATGTACAGTACCAGGACCCTGAAACTGTAGCAGCTAAATGGAATTCAGTTTTAATTTTTGAATTATTTACACGTGCATTTTCTGATTGTGACATATGTCTTATGTGTAAAGCCCTGTGAGAGTCGGGTTTGGAGCTGAGATTTTTGGGCTGGACTCCAGACTGAAGGCAGAAAGGACTATTTGTATAGTATGTCTGCCTTCTTTCAGTGATCTTCATGGGGTTTGTTTTGGAGATTTTCAGCCAGGTTTTGATATGTAGATCCAATTTTCTACATAATTAATCACACATTCACCTAATACCTAAAAGTCACACTTACAAAAGAAGCTTAGCTAAATGAACCCTAAACACTATAAAGAAACAAATGTTTATGATCCGTCTCTTTGCTTGTGTGTGTCTGTGTGTGTATGGATCATACAGCTAGTGACATTCTCTGTTAATGCAGCAGCAGTATGTACCATACGCAGAATTTGTTATGTGTACTATTGAACCACAAGGTGGAGACAAAACACATACTTAATGGTGGAATAACAACCGATTTGAGTATTCGTTTACAGTGTAATTTAATATAGGGGAAAAGAAAATACTCTTCCTAAAGTAAACAACTTAAAAAAAACATTGGAGCAGTTCTGTGTACTGTGCAGCACGCCCTCATGAGACATGGATGGAAGACTAGCAATGCAAATAAATATAAACGTATTAGTTTATCTTCACAACAGAAGTTCAATCATTTCATGCCTTTTTAAATGCTCATCTTAGTGTTTAATAAATTGTATTCTATGTGAGTCTGTGCCAAAAGGCTGAACTCTTTCGTCAGTTTAAATAGTTTAACAATTTCACACCAAACAAATGATTATAGCATTTCTTGACTTTTAGGACTAAGTGGTAATTTTGGGTTACAATAAAGACAAGTGGCTGGTGGATCTCAGTACTCAAAGCTGATTAGACCACACTCACCATGGACTGATCAATCAATCTTTGTTTAACCTTTTCAGAGTCTTAGCACATACTGAGACAGAGACAACATTATTTAATATAATATTATATAAAATCATATACAACATACTTTGAAAAATTCAGAAGTGGTACAGAATATGTTATCTAAGACAAAAGCCACATTGCAGCATGCTGCTGGTTCAGAGTACTGACACCTTATTTTTTTTATTCTAATTCAAGCACCACCTTTATTTTTATACTGGACTACCATCCCCACAACCTTTGAATCCAGTGGGGGTACTTTTTCATTTGCATTTGTAGTACTCTTATGCCACTTTATGCCACTTAGTTTTAGGAAAAAGAACAGTTATGGTATACGTTATCCTGTAGAGAGAGGAAGGAAGCATTGAACCAAAGCTTTTATCTAATTATACATGACCACTGAATGAAGGCCAGCTTCTTGACCTGACCTTGCAAAGGCCCATGTGTATTTTGGCAGGTGGTCATGGGATACAAACCTGACGTGTCTCTGATAAGAAATGTGTCTCTGCATGTGCCACGTTGGCAAAACGAACGCACAGTTGTTGAGTCAAACCCTCATTCACTTCTTTTTGAAAAGAAACAGCAGGGGACACCTGATCTGAGCCATGTCTGGACTGAACGCATCTCTCGGATACTTCCTGGCTGTTGTGATATTTGCAGCCTCAGTTCGAACACTACTTAAAAAATGGCCACGGTTTAGCTTCGTTTCAGAGTTTGCATCCTCTTTTATGCTGGTGGCATGTTGGCTGGAGGTGCAGACCATTGTGGAGGTGGGTGAGTGGGCCGGCGGCTTGGGTCCTGATGTGACCGTGACCATTCTGTTTGTGGTGCTGCTAACCCACGGGGTGATCTGTGGTGGTGCGTCAGGGAATCCCACCCTGGTGGTGCTGAAGTTCCTGCAGCTAGAGGCCACCACCCTGCCCTCTCTCCTTGCCGTTACATCCCAGTTTCTTGGGGCCCACCTTGGCCTTCTTGTAGCGGTGTACTACTGGAGTTTGGAGCTGACAGACATGCACATGATCAAAAACCTGATGGCTAGAGAGTGCAGCACATCTCTGCTGGTCTCTTTGCTTCAGGGTTTTTTCACTGAGTGTGTTTGCGCACTCATCCTTCACCTAATCCATCTAAACCTGCAACGCAGATCTGCTCTGATCCGGGTGCCTCTGATCGCTGTCCTCCTCACTTTCCTGTCCCATACAGGTAGGTTGTAGGTGAACCTGCCCCCTCCTTCAAAGAAACTTGTGTATTTTTGTAAATATAAAAAAAATGTAAAATAAATAAATAAATAAAATTCCTGCAGGAAAAAAGGAACATTTTCATTCAAAAACAAAATATATATATATATATATATATATAAACATGCTATGGCTCAGTGCATGCGTAGTATCATCTGGGATCAGTTTCATCTACAGAAGGCAAAATGCACTGAGAATCTTTTAATGGTAGCCTTATTCGAATGTGGCCTCTAACTGACATACTTCAATAAATTCCTTATCATTCATGCATACTTCAATGAATTTGGCCAAAGAATTCGACTGAGTCTATAAAAGAGAAGAAATTGCATTTCATTATTAGTGTGCTCATTTTGCCGTTTCACTGGTTAATATTTAAATATTTTGTTTCTTGTTGTTTGTTATCAGGGTTATGCTTCAACTTTGATTTTATAAAGTTAGCTATAACTGATAAACACTGCTTTGCTCACAAGGATCTTAAACTTTATTGGTCTGTTCTTTTCTGCAGCCAGAGGCTACACCTCCGCTTACATGAACCCATCCTTGGCCTACGGCCTCACCTTCCACTGCCCAGGATTTACCTTCACAGAGTATGCAGTAGTCTACTGGCTGGGTCCTCTCACAGGTAAATGACATTCAAATCAAATATATCTGCATCCTGATATGTTCTTTAAAAGTGAACACACTGTTTACACTGAATGTCTGTTTTCTAGGCATGACTCTGGCTCTTCTCCTGTACATTGGACACATTCCAAGGATTTTTGCCAAGAACCTACTATATTTTCAGAAGACACGTTTCAGAGTGCCAAAGGGGGACAAAGGGGACAAAGGAGAAAAGAAGAAAATGTAGAAGAAAATGTGAAAGAAACTGGAAATTTTTATTTTCTTTTAATTACCAATTTAGGAAAGTACCTGACAACAATTGGTTAATGGTCGAGAGATATTTACCTCAAGTAACAGTCACATGCCTGTACAGAAAATGTAAAATACTAAGCATAAAAAAAACGATGGCGAATTGGTGAAATTCTCCAAACTTGATGGCTGTTTTCAATAAAATCATCAATGATATTTTTCTTTTGGAAAAACCAAATCAAAAAAGAAAAATACTTTTACCAACATTTCTTCTTCAATGAATGTGTGGGACACCACACGATGGCCATCTGCTGGTAGCATCAAAAATAATAATGATGAACTCACACAGGCCCAAAAAAAAAAAAATCAATAAATCATATCAAAATCAATAAATTACTAAAATACAGAAGCAAAAGGTTGGCATTTAAATAATATCAAACTACTTCCTCAGATAAGGATATATGTAACCCAATAAAGCCACACAAAAAGAGAAATATCCTTCCTATTCATCGGTGAGAAGAGGGGAACTGCTGCTACGTGCTCTGGGCAGCACTGGGTTTAGAAGACGCTGATCCATCAGGCTTTCTGTCTTTTGGCTGATTCTTAAGAGAAGGGCCCTGATCTGTGGGTGAGAAAGAACAAATAATAATGATCACTACAAAGTTGAGTAATCTGAATTTGATACTTTTTCAATTCAACTTCAATTCTGCAGTATTCGGTAGCTAATTTACACATTCTGTTTGAGGCTCCCAGTATATGTAATCTTCAAAATTAATAGAAAAAAATGTGCTAATGCTAAAATGCTTGATGATTCAGACCAGAGTACTGTTTAGAGGAGCACAGTATGATGTATAGTGTTGAGTTGAGCTTTGTCACCTGGCTGCTTTTGTTGCTGCAGCTGAGCCTCGGGACGGTCTACCCACAAACAATAATCTGGATTATTCAGTAACGTCTTGCTCTGCCCACAGCTGAGGCACCTCAGAATAGTAAAGCGAGTCTTGCTGTTTTTTCCTCGCAAGACAAAGTCAACAAAAACAAGGTTAGTGTCTCTAAACATGTTTATTTAAATTTAGCAAACAAACTGAGATTAAACACATAAATTAACTGTTTAAAAAACCTAAAACATCTGACATCTAATTACATTGCGTATGCAATGCAAGGTAACATGGAGAACAGCAGAAACTGAACTGTTACTATGAATGACAGACACTTACTTCGTTGTCTTGTTGTAGCAGTTACACCAGGGATGAGCAAGGAGCAGCACTTCTTGCATAATGTTCTCTTCACGGATGGGTCTCTGCGACAAAATGAATTATTAACAGATGCTGAAAATCCTATTTATGCTTGGACAGGTTAGACTTAAAAGATTATGCTAGTATTATTATATTTGTTTCTTGGGTCTACCAACCACCTGTAAAGACCAAGAGTGTGTTAGTCCTTTCCTCAGTACTTTCTGACGTACCTACCCTGTCTATGGCTCTTATCCTAAAGCCCATTGGTTCCTACTAAACATTTTAATCTTTCAAAATGTGTCCCACACATATATAGTTTCTGTATTTTAAAAGGCTAAGTCATTTTCTACAAAGGCTGCGCACTGTAGTTTTTAGTAAACTTTACTCAAACAGGAGGAAATGGTGCATTTGTTACCATAAGGAAGGAACATGTCATTCAGTACAACAGTGTCTTATTAACGTGTTTTTAATATTCCTATGAGCTCTAAGGCTCATAGGAATAAAATACATCATACTGTAGCTAACTTTACACAGACAGTGCTTGTTAGTTAATTATTGTTGTTAATATTATTATTATTGTTGATCCCTGAAAAATAAAATGTATGTCTGAATAGCTTTTTTTAGTTGGATCAATTTCCTCATACATATGAAAAGCTATGCAACAGTGAAAAACAAACAACAAAACAACATGTTCCTTTAGGGAAGCAAAAGTGACGCACCTGACGTCATTAGGAAGTGACTGGCTGTGAGTCAGCCTTCAAAATAAAATCAATACCAGACGAACATGTCTTGATAATATTGAGATTGACTTAAACTTACTGTCTAAGAACTAAACGTCTTGCAATGGTCCTCTGTGTGAAGCAGTAGAAACGAGCCAGCTCTACATTTTCCGGGTTTTGAGATAAAACACAATGTGCAGCCTGTAGAGGATAAAACCAGGTTAGCAAGGTAGCTAGCAGCAAGTTAGCCACGTGACTGCTGCCGACGGTATCATGACAGCGATTAGCTTTTCACTGATCTCCGTCCTACCTGGTAAAGATAGTTCAGTCTTTGGTAAGCTTCTTTGTCTTTCATTTGGGATGCCATTACACACGAAGATCAGAAGTTTCGTCCTGTTGGCTACTTAAAGCTACGGCAGCCTGAGAGGAGCCGGTACAAAAAACTATTACACTTCCGGGAAAAACGTCCAAAATAAAAGCGCACGATCAACTGACGCTAAAAAATGTTTAAAATTTTGCTCAAAAATTCAAAGACTGTCACACTTCTTCAAAATAAAGACACCCCAAGCTCCGTCACCCACATCCTAAACGTGTAACTGCCCTGCCTGTATAATATCCAGCTATAAAGCTGATATTAAAGTCTTCACTGGTTACATAAGAAAGGAAATGAATCCTGTATTGCATCACTTATATTAGTGTAGCCTCATGTTTGTTTCCGTGTGGCTAAATAAAAAATAAATATATTACAGCACACCAATCATTTCCACACCCAAATCACAAAAGCACAAACAGCTGCATTTATTTGAGTGCGCAGACAAGGTTGTTAGTCATTCAGAGGAAAAAAAAAAAACAGTCAACAAATTGTGTTTACCATGCTTTCAACAGCTAACCATCATGATATGGCCACTTTTTTTTTTAAAACAAATTATTAAGTACACAATATACACATGGAAAAAGCGCATTTGTTTAGTTCAGAAGAACACAAAGGACAGAGTTCGACATACAATACTCATTTTTAATAACAACAATAAAGAAGAAAGTATAAACCCTGTCAATCTAACATTTTAATTTGCCTGTAAGGTGCACCTCTGGTATCAGGAGACTAATGATACAGGGGAAGAACTGGTACAGTAAGTCTGTCAGGTGTGGCAATCGATGAACGACACAATCACAGCACATGTTCATGATGAAGAATGTACTGTTTCCTATAAAAACCGGTAAGAGAAAATGTCCATAAAACATGAGTCAATGTGGAAATAGCAAGAGTGTTCATTGAATAAGACCAACTATATAACAAGAAGGGGGACAAATATGAAATTCAAGTATCAAAATAACTAAGACACTGACAAGCTGAAAAGGTAAATTACAAAGGTAGTAAAAATCATGGGAAGAGAAACATTGACACAATCAACAATACATTAGGCAACATTTTGCATTTGTTTAAGGCAGTTGATTAAAAAAAACTAAATAGAACTAGGCATCTTCTTCATTCCAAGTTAAATACAAGCCTAGCCCTAACTTGTCACTAGGAGATTTGTTGTACAAAATAACTACGCCTGACTCTGAAACTAAGGACTTTAGTTTGACTTGTCTTCTGACGTCTGAGTGAGAATAGAGTTCATATGGACAGCGGTGGAGTTGTGCTCTATATTTTTGGTCTTCTTCACAGTGAGGTTTGTCAGGGCTTATAAGGCTGGTGCTTCAAGAGTGGCGAGTCACTCTCAGCCTATTGTCTGGCACGAAATCTAAATGGTTGGCACATATCTGTGCACAGCATGGGAAGGCAGGGTAGCTAGTTTCATCAGCTAACGATTGCCCTTCATGGCCTCCTTGGCTGCCAGGATGAGGGGTGTGAGACTGGAGAGGGGCTTCGCCAGCTTCAGGAACGGATGCTGCACGTCGGACGAAGAGAAGAGGGGAAGACCAGTGAATCAAGTGCACATTTAATGAGAACACAAGAAAAGTTAAATGAAAAAATAGGTAAACGGTATTAACCTGCAGCAGCTCTTTGCCTCCACCTCTTTTCTCTACATCCATTTCCAAGCAACGGTTGAGGAAATCTCTGAAGACCGGAGACAGCTTCTCAGGGTTCTGAAGCTCGGGTGTGCCGTTTGTGGCAATCAGGTATAATGCCTGCCAAAGGGGAAGAGAGGAGAGAAAAGGAAGAACCGTCAAACCTAGTATCAGGAAATAACTCACTCTTACAGCAACTGAATCAAACCAAGTCAAAACGGTGAAGTGAGGCGATGTAATTCAAGTCTGATCAGTTTTTAATTGCTATTGAAGTGTTACACACTATTTATTTTCTAACCCAGCGTTCACACAGCGACCACTAGTCCTTTCCCTTTCACTTAATGACAGCTGGGTAAACTGACTTTACAAAACCATACAACAAACTGTAGGTGATACCAGATAACTGGTCCATAAAAGCTGATAATCGTGACCCAGGATTTTCTAATCCAGATTTAAAGTGTCATAATAGAAGAGATGAGGTTTGTAACATGCAATGTGCACACATAAAGAGCAGCGTGTTCAGTGTGAAATGAAGTGCGATTACTAATTTACACATCATCCATCAGTGTCAAATATTAAACTAAGCAGGCTGCATAGACTGTACATAATTCTTACACAGTTACAATAAGTGTGAACTGGATATCAACTTTATATATTGGTCAAATCTCTCGTACGTGTGAACACACTTAGCCAGTAAAGCTGATTCGACAGTGTTTGCACACAACTCGAAAACAAAAAAAGCAACAGCAGCAGCAGACATAGCTTGACAACTTCAGCCAACAACAGGTCATGTCAGTGCCTGGATTGTTCCTTGAATGTTGTTGCATATGGAGAGCAGGACAAACTCTCCTGAGACTTATGAGCATTTCTTCCTGCTTTTGTGTTGACTCATGACGGTTTAAGGACTGCAGTTGTTCAGCAACTATGCCAAAGTCTGACAAACAAATCATTGATTCATTTTAGCATTTTGATCTTAAATTGTTTATTAAGAGCAGAGAGCTGTGCCTTCGACTTTTGTTTTGTAAGTGAACCTGAATTTGTCAAACTAATTTGCCCACTGTACAGATGAGTCAATTGGGAGAGATTCATGTCATAAGATGGAAATAAACATGTAAATAAGACAAAATAACCATGAGGACAAAAGAACCGAGAGGGTTTAAAATGTTCTCACTCACTCGTAGTGGATTCTCGTTCAGGTAGGGAGGCTCTCCTTCAACCATCTCAATGGCCATAATACCCAGTGACCAAATGTCTACTTTAGGCCCATAAGCCTTTCTGGTCACCACCTCAGGAGCCATCCAGTAAGGCGTGCCTACCATGGTGCTGCGTTTGCTCTGCTCTGGAGTGATCTGGGCACAGAAGCCAAAATCGGCTGTCGAGGAGAAGAAGAAGAGTAAATACACAGTTACAGTGAGAGGATGTAGGAATGCCAAATAACATCGGTACAGGACTTACTCAGCTTGACAGAACCATCCATCCCGAGTAACACATTATCACTTTTGATGTCTCTGTGAATGACCTGGTTCGCGTGCAGGAATTCCAATGCTTGTAAACACTGCAGATATGGAGATAAATGGGAGGAGGAGGTGGGGGGGAAAAGGTTATTTGGAGTTACATTTTTGTTTTATCTCTAACTTTCACATATGGCCCTGGTTGTAAAGAGTGCAGTGTACCTCTCGGCAGACAGCAGCTATCTGGGCCTCATCCATACAGGTCTCTGTAACCACATCTGTCAGTGAACCACCGGCCAGATACTCCATCACCACAAACAGCTCCTCCCCCATCAGGAAACTGACATACATGCACAAATACACAACGTCACACACTGGCGTCCATCCATAATTATCAATAAATGTTCAGGCTGCGGGTTTAGTCTCAGTCTCACCTGTCTAAAAAGTTGACAATGTTTGGGTTCTTCAACTCCTTCATCACTAGAATCTCATTGATGATCAGCTCCTTCTTCGGCTGCTTTTGTAAGTTGATCTGTTTAATGGCGACCTAAAAACAAGCAATTCAGAATTACCCAAATTTGACAAAATACACTAGGGACTATGTTGGTATAACATTTAGTTTTCCCTTAAGTCTTTATTATGACTGTATAAGTGTATGTATTATACATTTATTATTAATTGCTTTCTCTAATTAACTTTTCCCTCGGAATGTAAATCATTTAAAAATGTAACTTTTAAATAAATAAAACATTCTTCCTCTTACAAATGAAAAGTTGAATTAATGTGCAATAAAACACCCCTTACATGGTCAGGTATGACTTATGATGCTATTTTTAGCTAATGTAAGCTAATGTAAGCCAACTTTAAATAGATTACTCTCCTTTACAGCTACTGTTACAGTATGTGTTAGTCTTTAACATTATCTCAGATTTGTCATTTCACTTGTGTCAATTTATATGTAATGAGCTCCACTACTTTTTCTGCTGTGTCACTGGTTGGTATTTTTATAGTCTCCACATCTGCTCGTCCATTACTCAGTAACTCTTTACCTCCTGTCCGGTGGCAACATCGATGGCTGTGAATACTGTTCCTGATGCCCTGGGAGAAGGAGATGAGCTATTAACTTTAATGCACATATTGACGATTTATACACAGACATATTCTCTCACATTTTAACACAAAAAGCTGTGATTCATCAAACAGAGTTGTGATATGCAGCTTAACAACAGCCAAAGCTGATATTGTCAAAGTGTGACGTTTAAAACATTCAGTGTTGATACAGAAAAATTAGGGGATTTTGTTGAAGAAGTGGAGTAAATGAAGGGCCTATTATTATTATTATTATTATAAAAGCAATATTACACAGTACACCTTAAATCTTAAATCCTATCACATGTTCTAAATACAACTGGTGGATCTGCACTCACCCCTGACCAATTTTTTCATATCTGGTGTACTTCTTCTTGGGATCTCCAATGCTGACTATGGTTCCTGTAAGCCAGATAACAACCACATGTGTAAAGAAAACAGGTGGGATTTGAACTGCTGTATTGTTGTAATAGATTTGTGAGATTGCTGATTTATTAATAATTTACTCAGTTTGTCCATGATCTCCTCATCTGACATCTTGCCCTTCTTTTTCTGTCGGTCCGCAGCCTTAGAGGCAACATCTCCGTCTACACAGTGGCTTGGAGCAGGGATGGGGTCAATAACAGAGCGAGTATACACCTGCACAACAAAAACAATACGGTAAGACAAACAAATGCATTAATCTTAGATATATATATTAAAAAATGATTTTACAAACAATCATTATGTTGTCATGCCTGCTTAAAGCAGCTGACTTACACTCTTTGTGTGTTCTGGTCTAGGTGCCACAACAGGAGGAGGGGCTTCATCGTCGTCATCATCATCAATGTCTTTGATATTCGGTGAAGAGGGTTCAGTGCCTTTTTTCACAGGCTAATTTAGAAGAGAAAAAGTTGTTAACCTTTAAAAGACCAAACATAGTACAAATAAAGCAGCATGAGTTTTTGAAATACTTACAGACTGAGGCCCCGGGGTGAAAGCGTCTTTTTCTGTGAATGAAAGACAAAACAAAACAGAGGCAAAGTTAGACAAAAAATATGTTTTATTGAGTACTTGTAGTCACAGACTGAACAAGGTGTTCCCAAAGAGTTCAAAGCTGTCACATGAGATAACATATTGATTTAATTCCTCTTTATGAAAATGAAATTATAATTTCTAGGCAATAATTAACTTGCACCTACAAACATGGAGGCGAACTTGATGTAGTCACAATGTCATAAAGGTAATTAAACATAATGTCACAATTATGTAACGTGGGGCCTCACCAGAAGATGAGAAGCTGAGGTACTTCTGACGGCCGTTGCCTGTAGAGTCGTAGAACTTAAGAACGTCGAGCACAGCCTGTGGGTTTTTCTTCTGCTCTGACTTGGTGATGTTTGAGGTCTGGAGTAGTCGAGCCCATTGTTCTGGCATACCCTGTGTATGACAAAGATGACATGGTGTCAAACTGGTGCAGAGTAAGGTGTGAAGTAAACGTGTGTCATGAGGCAGGTGGTGTAAACGTGTGAGACTGAAAAGTGAAAACTCACAGTGAACTCCCCTGTGACAGCATCAAACCCCACATGTATGGTGTGTTCAAAATCTGAGGGTGGAGAGATCTCTGGTCGTTCTTTGTCTCGATCTTTCTTTCTACCACCTGAAAGAAACCAAAACCTTATTGAAATCACATTTCACAAGTGTTCACAAACCCCCGACTGAGTTTAAAGTGAAATCTTTCTCTGCCGAAGTCTTCGTCTCACCTTTTTCCGCCCCGGGGAAGATTGAGAAGATCTTGTTGCGAGGTTTTCTCTCCTCAGGCACAGAAGGCAGGGGTTTAGAGCTGTGGTTGGCTGAGAGTGAGTCTTTGCCAGAGCCGGTGCTGAAGATGGTACTGCTCATCCTGACCGGAGGGGCAGGGGGTTTATCCTCAGGGTCTCCGTTATCACACATTGCTATAGGTTGTTGGTAGCCTCACAGGGCTAAGAGGGCTTGGGGT